TTGTAAATAATTATATAAGTTGTTGTCAGCTAGTAGGAATTGGGGAATGATTGATGTCGGATGTAAACAACATAGTGATTTAGGGAAAAAAATAGATTGAAGGGGATATATATATTGATGTGTCAAATAACGAGAAGCAACACGATTTGCAGTTGAATAAACCAACTTTAAATGTTTTCCAAAGTGCGTCATGTAATGCTTCAGATTCAGTAAATAAGTTCTTGCCGTAAAATATGTTTTCACGCAAGTAATTGCTTGCCTTAAGGTGAATTGCATAGCTTGAACTATTGTATGCCGAAGTTTCTTTAGCAATGCCGTTAATGATTATTTGGAAAATGTTGAAAGAAGGTGCTTGGTGATCCTGAATCTATGAAGTGTTTTTTTTTTGTCTGGCAGTTACATTAAAGGATATTTGAAGGAACGGTTGTTTTAAGAAGCTGAATCTTCGGATGTGATGGGTTCGTTTAAGAAGACGACAACATGTATTTTACTTTGATCTGTATGAATGTGAGTGGGCTAGTAGTAACCCATGAAACGATTGACTACGACAAAATGTGTGTGTGAATGTTGATCAAATAAGAAATGATGCTGTTCATTTTCTTTGACGGTTTCTTCAACTGATGATAGTTTAGATATGATTATGTTCTCGGCGTCATGAACCGAAACTGATCATTTTGAGTATCAATTACTCATGCATTCTGTATTTTATTTACTTAGTGGATGTGCACGTACATTTGTGCTATGGGGAGGTGTGATACGATACTATGAATTGTGTCTGAAAGTTTGGAAAGACAGTTGGATCTCGATATGTTTGGTAGCAGCTAAATCAAGTTTCACTGATTATGGTTATGGTGATCCAAGTGATACAACTTGCATAGAGTTAAAATAGTTGAAAATGGTCATTTGGAATAAGAGTACTAGCTTTGGATATATGGAGAGAGTGATATTTGTGGAGACTATCAAGTTTTTGAACCAGAAAAGGATAATGTCTGATATAAGATGATGTGCATAGTTTGGTCTATTGTTTTGTCTGATCAAGCACATATAGTTCATTGGAGAAGAATACAAAAACTCCAATTCAAGAAATGAAATGACTTGTTAGTAAGAATGTATTTTTGAGCTGTAAAATAGGAAAACGTGTAGAGGAATACAGTATTATCAATGGAGGAAAATGTAAATAGCACTGACAATATATGAATTGAAGGAGCTTTGTGATTTGTAATGGCTAGATAGTCATCCCCTAGAAATAATTTTGTCTAAACGAGGACGTTAACTAAAGAAAGGAGGGAGTGAAAGCATGTTATCTGAGAATGTTTGTAAAAAAATGATTGAAATCTGCATTGTACATAGATATTGATTGATATTTTTGAAGATGTTTGATGTATACGTATATAGACCTAACAGAGAGATATCTACTAAGTTACATTTTGAAGCCGAGGCCTTAATTGGTGACCATGTGAAGTTTCTATGAAGTGGATTTAAGTTTGAATTTGAAAACGACCGTGGAATTTTTAAAAATGTGGAAAATGAAATGTACCAGTCACATATTTACCAAAATAGAATGGAGGAATATATTAAATGTTAATGACGAGGACGTCATTTTATAAGAGGGGGAGCTATGTAACGGTCTGCTTAACGAAATTATTAATACATAAAGCTTTCCCAGTTGCGGTAGTATGATATTTTAAAGTCTATTTCACTGAAACACAAAAATGGAGCAACACTTTACATATGAATCCTGTGTGGTAGACCAATTGAAAATAAACCGGTTTTGTAACTTCGAAGAAGCAAACCACGACGGAAAACGCAATTCGAACGCGAGTTGGAAATAATTATCTATAATCTGATTGGTTGATTTTGTATCAACTCACGATTGAATCGAATGTTAGATCGCCAGCGTTGTAGGGCGTCAGACGATATCGGGAGGCACGACAAGGTAGGGCTATGCACATTTTCTAGGTGAACAACATTCCTGTTTCTGGACTGGGCGTTACTTCGGCTTACAGACTTCATCAACAGCAATATGCAGCAATGAGCAACCCAAGATAAGGATTCGTAAGCTGTGAATCTACAGCAGTCCATTGGGGTGCCGTAACGGCTGGAATTCGCTGAAGGAATAGCGTCACCACGGGAGTTGAGACCGCACAGTGAGCCAAGCCCACCAAGAGCAGCCAGTCTCCGAAAGTCGAGAACCTACACTCTATGCAAGTCCCCTATCATCGTGATCAAGTCCACGACGACTTCAAGGGCCAGTCCCACAACCGGTTGCCTCTTATCGTCTCGCATAGCTTTTATTATATTTTATAGACATTTTTAATAGACATTTCTGTAGTATTATTTTGAAAGACATTTTATAAAGGCATTTACATATCTAGAGTAATAGATTAAATTAAAAGCATCATAAATACCATATTTCTTTCTCTCAGTGCAATATTACTATTTTGATCATATTGTTCTCTATGTTGATTTTAAATAAATAAGCCTTGTACATATTGTTATATTTTACATCACTTGTCGTGTTGCATGTTGTATTTGATCTATTAGGCCCTGTTTGAAAGTCCCTTTCCCTCCCCCGTCACGTCCGGTTACATATGGATTAATTTTTCTCTGATCTTTTAATAATATACATGTCACGTACATTACTGGACATCACCTTTAGTTCACCACGACTAACACGCTCATCGCCTCCGAAAACCAGTTTCAGTTTGTTAGATGTCTTCAGGTCTTCAGGTAAGTATTTGTTTATCACTACTTGTATTTGGGTCCTGTTTTCATTGTTATTCGAACAAAACAATGTGAAGTGCTCTAAAGTCTCAACTTCATGCTGACATAGTTCACAAAGTCTATCCCGCATTGGAATTCCCTCCCATTCTCCAACGTTTACTCTCAGATTACCCGGGCTGCTATAATTCAAAAACATGACAATGCTTTTATTGAATTTCTCAACCAATCAGAATGCAAAAATGCAAAGTGTAAAAAAACCTCACTTATTGTTTTTCAATTGTTCTTAATACGATTAATATTTAGTATATGTTAAATGATTGCACAAGCAAAATACTGAAAATTAACATGAGATTAGGTGTTTTGCCAGATATAAAAAATTGTACATTTTCTGTGTAGAATTAGAACTTTTTGCAGTAATAACGCAATTCTTTCAAAATTATAAGTCATAAGAGGCTTAGAACTAAACATGTCACAATTCTTACTCTTAGTTGAACAACAGTATCTAAATTTTCTATCAAGGCAGCACCTCAAAATATATATGGATTCCATAGGATGCATTTTTCTAAATTTCACCCTCTGTCAATATGGTATTTTCCTTAGCCAATTTCATACCATCTAGTATTTTCCCTCCAACTATCTAGTACATCCCTCCCATTAATAAACATATGTGATATTAATCTGGTGTTCGGGTGAGGTGTGATCATTCGTTGTATTATTTGAATATAATATTCAATATTCTTTCTTCAGTCCCTCAATTTAATATTTTCTGAGCAGTTGGGTGGGCGTCCCAATCAATCGTGTCTACAAAGGAGTGGTATCGATATGGTGAACTTTTTGAACACGCGTTTCTCTTAAACCAGTCATCTAAACATTCTGAAAATTTTACACACCGTCAATTTAATGGTCATCTTTTGGATAATAATTTGAAATATATATACATATATACTTCTCTCTTTCTCTCTATTATTGTTGTAGAAAACATATCAGACACTCAAAAAATAGTATCTTGTTAATGAAATAAAAGGTTTATTTTAATTTTTATCTTTTTTTTGGGGGGGGGGGGGGTGTTTGTTTTAAGTTTTTGCATATTTTTGTTAAGTCAACCAAAATCAAAATCAAATGAAACCCAAATTTCCTTTGGATAACTATAATATTGAGAGGTCTAAGAAAATGTTGTATATGCTATTTTTTCCAACAAGGTTCGGAAAGACATTTCATTTCATTCTCAAGAATTGGTAGAAAGGGACAAAAAACAATTGCACAAAAAGAGAAAGATGTTAACAAAAACAGTTAATGCAAAAATGATTCGTTTTGCGAATCAGTCAACATTACATAAAGGACCGTGTTTTTTTACAAAGCGTTTTCAATAATTGGAAGAGAAAAACATTGTTGAATTCATTTCACCATATCGATACCTATCCTTTCCAGCCAAACTTTTTCATGGATGGATTCATCTGAAATTTCCAGGGATGTTTCTCAACCGGTGGGTTTTCAATAGATTGAATGCCCATGCTCAACATAAATTATGATTCTAAAATTCTCCCAAATATAAAATAAAATTAATTGTTTTCTCTCCAAATGTTGATATGCATTGTGAAATGCAATCCAGGGGGTGGGCCTCCAGACAGCATTCTTGAGCTGTACGTTTGGAGGCCGATATAAGGGAGGTTAAGTTACACGTTTTATAGGTAACCTGTACGTGAGCATGTAATATTTCGACCCCCGGGGATTACTGTCCCGCTCCCAAGTCACTTTCCCAAGGAACTAACAACAATTCGAACATGACTGTATTCGCGCCTTCTATAACGCCTAAACAAAGTCAACATTTCACCCGGGGTATATTCGCAAACATTGCCTCTGGTTATATGTGTAATATGTGACGTCATAACGGCGGGCCGTAGTAATGGCGGACCATAATGAATATCCGAAACATTTTGGTGAGTTTTCATGTTCGAATCGTAATATAGACCTCAGAGCAGGGGTAATATAGTCTAATACACCCCTTAGGGCTAGGCACAAAAGCCTTGAACCCCTCATTCCCTTCGGTCGTTCAGGGTACAGAAAAAGTTTGTGCCTAGCCCTGTGGGATGTATTCGACAATATTACCCCTGCTCTGAGGTCTATATTTCTTAATTATTTTCCGTATACTCAAGCGACCACATAAACACTTCAAATGGAAGAATTGTTGAACGTCAGCGGATTAATATATCGTGATGTCACGGATTTTAATGGTAACAATGAACTTGAGGGGCTTTGCTGCTCGGCTGGAGGACCATAATTCTACACGTTCACGTAAGATTTTTTTGAAACGTGTAACTTAACTATCCTAATATGTACTCTGGGGATGTTGTAATGAACAGCGTAGAGTGTTTTGTTTGCCAAATTCTAACTCATAGCCTAAAGAAGTTCTTTTATTATCGTATTCCAATTTATCTATTTCTCGATTGATGATTTTTTGTGGTCTTACTACTGTAGTTCTGACCTGTTACTGTTTTGGAATAACCTAATTCCATGTACACCTCCGAACATCGTTTATCAATTTCCTCCATTAATTTTTTATCAAGCATTCCCTTCCAATTATATGCTAATCCCGAAGAATTGATCGATTTCAGTATTAGCATTTTTTGGACATATGGAAAGTAAGGCAAGTCTATGAACTTAAGTATCGATCCCATAGTCTTGTTAGCGTTTTCAGCGAGGTCTTCATAAAGTACTTGCATGAAAATATCTGGGTATTTCTTTTCCAGTTCATGTCTAATAGTTATATCTTTTTGGATGCGTTTACATATATCACTGATTGTCTGATATTGTTTATTCTTAGTGAAGTTTGAAAATTCAGTCCATACTGTATTTACACGACTGTTGATTTCTCCTCTGGGGTCTCGTAGAAGGTGGAGGACTTTTACATTGTTTGTGTAGTTGATTGTATGAAGATAGCGGGATAATCCTTCCATTGAACCACGGACTACTTTGGCCAACACCACCTAGAAGTATATATCTATGGTCACCATTTATGTGAAATGCTAAATTCTAACACAAAATATGACAGCAAACGATTGTAACCATTTGGAAGTTGTTTAACGAGGCGTATAGCCTTTTTATTTTTTCGTGAAGCCACTCAGTAAAATTACGATTTATCTGCAACCTGATGTCCGATCAAGCTCATTCAAGTATCTATGTGTTCCTGACACGTTTGGGCGTGCGTCCGGGAATAACAACGTCTACCCAGAGTTTGCACGCTAAATTGACGTAATTCATGACTGAAATCGGGAAGACAAAATTTGAGATTCACAAACAAAATTGCCTATGAAAACTATTTACAAAAGTGTTCCAGAGACTCTAATCTACTTGTTTAAGGTTTTACTTGAAGATACATTGCCTTATTAAGCAGGTAGAGCGGAATATGTACTTTACTGGTTTACATGAACGTAAATCATTACATGAGATCTGCAGTCTTCCGGGTTTTATCTAGGTTCGTATTGTCTTAATGGGGTTTTTCGACATTAAAACAAACCTTGTCTAAATAGATTTGTGTCTCGGGAACATTAATGTAAATAGTTATTATAAACAATTCTGAAAGAATATCACATTTTTTTGTCTTCCCGATTTCAGTCATGAATTACGTCAATTTCGCGTGCAAACATTGGGTAGACGTTGTCATTACCGGATGCCCAAACGTGTCAGGAACACATAGATACTCGAATGCTGTTGATTGGACATCAGGGTGCAGAGAAATCGTAATTTTACTGGGTGGCTTCACGAAAAAATGAACAGCTAGGGTTATATGCCACCTTAAAGTCCCCATCTAAAGTTTGAAAATATTTTTTTATCATTCATTTACTATTTGTCAGGACTTAAAAAGTGATTTTAGAGATTTTTGAACAAAAAATTTTTTTTTTAAAAGTGAGCATTTCATTTCTCAAATATTCAAATTTCCCGCCATTTTCAAAAAAAGTTGAAATTTCTTAATCATCAAATATTTCTTAATGCATTTCAAAAAAGATTATCTTTTTAACTTCAATGCAAAGGTTGAACAAAGGACACACTATTTCAATAATAAAATGCCATATTTAATGGGCCACTTCAATGTTTTAACATATCAAAAATATTTAGAAACATTAGTGATGAATGCTATGCATTGGTATGAATTGTGGCTAATTAGAAGATATGAGTGACCTCTAAAAGTTGGTTTTAAATAAATTCACAAATTTTGGAACAAAAAGTCTATCAAAAACCACTTTTTGAAATTTAAAAAAAAAGTTTCACATATCACACTTTGATAACATTGGGTAAGACTACAATGTAAGCCAAAGTGGTTTAAACTTTATATGGGGCCTTTAAAGGAACAATCTTTGCAAGGTTGTTATGTTACCATGAATGAGTCTAATGTCATGTATTTTAATGTGTCCCAGCATCTTGCATTGCACAATAAACAGAGAGCTGTGAGGAGTATTAAACCTCTAAAACTTACCGATCTTGATTTGCACAATGCAAGGACACTTTCAATACAGTAATCTATCTTCCTGATACCAAACGGGTTTGTGGTATTGCCACGCATACAGTCTGTGTAGCCCTCCATGTGGATGAAAGGACTATTGGAGCGGATCAAGAGAGGACATTTCATGATGTCGAGTTCTTTAGGAAGCTTGTCCAAATTACAAAGTTGAAGTTGTCTGTATACTTCAGCTTCTAAGTCGATCCACTTTTCCTCAATTGTTAATTTTCTTGGGAATATCATTTTCTTTAATTTAAAAACAAAATGACTCATTAACAAAAAGGAATATGACTTACCAATGGATGGAAATCATGCTACTGAATTTTTTTAATACCATAGAGAATCAAATTACCATCAAAGCATTGTCATGAAATAATGTTAGAACTATATGAATATATGAATGAAATGTCCCTTGGTCTTCTGGTCTTGGATTGTGATATTGATTCTTGAATTGTGGGGGGAAAGGGGGTATTAGACATTGTTTCTTTTCACGTTAGATCATGGTTTTGGGCTATATGGGGTTTGTTTTTCTTAACTGGTATGCACTTAGAGTTTGCTTTTTCTTGTTAAGTTCCATTACAACTTTTGGTCCTTTCCCTTTTGGCACTAGTGCTTATATATTTAATAATATGCCTTTACTTTTAGAGGCCTTGAAGTTCATTTTCCCAGACATGGAAATTGAACTTCAAGGCCTCTAAAAGTAAAGACATTCTCAAACCCAAGGAAATGTGGGTTCAAAATTCAAGACCTCAAAATTGGAAATTGTGTTCTACCTCGATTTGATCATCATAAACATTTAGGCCTCATTCTAGATAAACACCTAACTTTTGACCAACACATCACAGAGCTTATCAAAATAATCGCGATCGATAAACTCTTAAACCCACATAAACATATAAGCAGAAAATTAACACCTGGAATTAATTTTCAAAGCTTTCATACTTCTAATTTTTGACTATTGTGGTGATATCCTTTATGGTTGTGCAAATATTTCAAAACTAAAACTGATCAACTGTACTACACAACAGCCTGCATTTGCTAAAGCGTACTACATAGAACACATTCAACAAAAGTCCTTAACTGCTTAAATTGGCCAAAACTATCTGGTAGGAGACAACAAATGCATAGATTATTCCTAATGTACGAGTTGACAACAATATGTTCCCATCCTATGTTATGAGTATCTTTAATCAATACCGTTGGAATCTACCATCAATTACACTGGTGGATATCAAGCGAAGGTAACTACCGTCACCTTCGCATTCAAGATGGCGGACGAGTATTGTCAATTTCGAACTTTTTAGTTTTTTCGAATTAAACCACTTTATATTTGACATAATGCTTTCACATTTTACCAAATCAGGCGTTTATGACATTGCAACTCCGGAGTATGATCATTTGTTCATATGTCGTGCGTGGGTGCCACATTTCAACGAGCACTTCAAAGGGAAGGGTACTGGAAATGTATGATTCGGTAACGGTCGTGTTTGTTTTCAAGATGATGCGGTTACTGTGTAAAGTCTGTAATAGAAAGGTTTCGCAAAACGTTTTTAGCTAAACGGATCCGTAGCCGTAACGTACGAGGGTTGATCATAAAGTTCTCATAATATCCCTCTAATTTCTTCACTTTTCAATATTTTCCTATGAAAATTTCACAGAATGTGCATCATGGAATGTTTTTTTTAATCCAGCAAAAAATATTTAGAATAACAGAAACATTAGATAAGAAATGGTTGCCATAGTAACTTGAAATCAAGGCACCCGGGGCGAATAAAATAACTAGCTAGAATAGCCCCCATTAACCATGTTTAAATACATAATAAGTTGTCAAATAAGCTATCAAACACATTAAATTGTCAAATAATATGTGCTCTTAACTGTTGTGAACTATTACAATGGTCATGTGAATTGTGTGATCTCATAATGGATGATTGCTGTGCTTCATTAGAAGTGACTGTTAGACCCCATGACTGTTTTGTCAAATATCCCGAGGAAAATTGATTTTCCCCTTTCGTTCATCTCTAACATGTACAGACCACACACAAGGTGTATTTTTGATATCTTAGCAATATATATGTTTTAGATCATGTTTAGTCTGACCAAAGGATCTTACAAACTTAACATAACATTTTATCAGTATGAATTTTACTTTTCAGAAGATCTCTGCATCTATTGCATTCTCTTACTCAGTCATTTCTGATCATTAGCTTTGAGTCTCAGACTTTGGTAATTCATGAGAGTTTATTATGTATGTAAACATGGTTAATTAAGCTCATTCTCTGAATTATTTTTATTTGCCCCGGGTGCCTTGATTTCCCGTTACTATAGCAACCATTTCTTATTTAATATTTCCGTTAAACTAAATATTTTTGCTGAATTAATAAGACATTCTATGCTGCACATTCTGTGAAAATTTCATTAGAATATATTGAAAAATAAAGAAATTAGAGAGATACTATGAGAACTTTATGATCAACCCTCGTATTTACCAGATTTATGCGTAGTCAGTTCAATTTATACGTGAAGCGATACGGAAACACGAAAAATGAGGCTTTTCTACGTTGGTCATTTGCGTATCCCATTTTATCCTTTGATTGTATTGTTTTTAGTTCTAAAAGGTTTATCTTAATTTTTATCTATTTTGGGAGGTGTTTGCATACTTTTTGTAAAATTAACCAAGATTTCCTTTGTATAACTATGATATTGAGAGGTCTAAGGATATGCTGTATATGCTATTTTGTTCCAACAAGGTTCGGGCTGTCAACCCTTTTAAATGGGAGTGTAAAATTCCATTTTAGCCAATTGTATGCTTAAACAAGTGCGTGTCTTCAATTTAAGGATTTAAGCCCTGGACTCAATGTGGCAATGTGGAAGGTGATGCTTTCCAAAAGCACGAGTCTCAAATTGCAAACTATTTTCTCCCATACTTAAACGATACAAAATTACTCAATAAAAATATTTCCAATGACACTTTTTGCAAGGTATCAATTTCAATATGTAAAGTCAAGTTGTCGCCTTGACAGCTGTTCAAAGAATGCTCTTGGACGCGGTGATTGGTTAAATACTGCAGTTATATGAAATACTGTGTTCGGATTGGCTGGAATCGGCCACACCTTGCACCTTTACCTAGCTATGTGGGAATACATAGTAATGTCGATGTCGATGAGTAATTGATCTTGGGAATCAAGATAATGTGAACCACCACAATTGATATAAAGCATGTTTTGCTATCTGAACTAGGACATCTTAGCTCTCAATTATAAACTCTCATAACGTTACCGCATCACCACATATCATCTGTAAAACCAAAATACCAATAACCTTCCCTTAAGCGGTGAAAGATATCGTTGAAATGTGGCACCCACGAACGACATATGAACAAATGATCATACTCCAGAATTCCCTTGTCATATAAGCCTGATTTGGTTCAAATATCAAAGCATTATGTCAAATATAAAATGGTTTAATTCGATGGAAACTAAAAAGTTCGAAATCGACAATATTTGTCCGCCATCTTGAATGCGAAAGTAAGGACAGTTACCTTCGCTTGATATCCACCAGTGAATTACACGAAGAAGTCGCGACTACCAAATTCCAGCCAAAACCTCAACATTCTCTAATAGATCATGTGTCTTAAAATCCATAATTGACTGGGAGGCTCACCTGAACTAAAAGAATCACCAAACTTAGATACTTTTAAATTCAATTTAAAGAAAGAATTACTGACTACCAAATTATTAATTCTTCTGGGATCTCCTTGACAAGGACCCAAGAAAGGATTGGTATCGATATGGCAAACTAAATTCCACATTGTTTTTCTCTTAAACCAATTGTTGAAAACATCCGATAAAAAACACGATGTAATGATCACTGATTGACAACAATTTAATGCAAAAATTATTTAAATATATTTTTATAACTATTTTTCTTAGTTTTTTAAAAAAAAATTAGTGCAATTGTTTTTTGTTCCTTTCTACCAATTCTTGAAAATGAAATAGAATATCTTTCCGAGCCTTGTTGGAACAAAATATCATATACAACATTTTCTTAGACCTCTCAATAATGTAGTTATAGAAGGGAAACTTTGGTTAATTTAACAAAAGGTATTCAAAAAACCCAAAATAGATAAAAATTAAAGTAAACATTTTATTTCATTAACAAGATACTTTTTTAAATCAAACTCTCCTTTTGTACAATTACAATATTGAGAGACCTAAACACGTTGTGTATATGTCGTTTTGTTCCAATGAGGTTCGGATAGATGTTTCATTCAGAACATATGATACCAAGAACAAAATAAGTGTCTGGGTGTTTTCTAAAACAATTTAAAAGTATATATAAACTTTTCAAATTAAACCGTTATCATTCAAAAGATCATCATAAGATTGACGATGTGTAACATTCTCAGAATGTTTTGATGACTGGTTTTAGAGAAACGTGTTCAATTCAGTTCGCCATATCGATAAAAATCCTTTCTCTAAATAGGGTTCCTTGTGATCTGATCTTTCAGTCCCATCTTTATGTTCACAACTTTACTAATGTACCATCCCCTACATGCAAATGGTGTAGCAATTAAACATCTGTTCATGTTATGTTTTCCTGCAACCTTAGATCACAATACCTCCAAGATTTAGAGGATGCACGCATCTAAATTTTGATTACCGCAAATTTAAAAACCAGCAAGACAAATTATCATTATTTTTGTATGGAGACAGAAGTTTTCCTAAACAAATTAATTTTAGATTTTAAACCTCACCTCAGCTATTACTTTAGTATTCAAAGGTGTGCAAACGTGTAGGTATTGTGGCTTGTATAATGCTCAATTGCAAAGCCGCAGCATGTGTATGTAATAACCATATTTTGCTATGGAAATAAATCATGTATGAAAAAATAATAATATTGTGAACAACTGTATTTTATCAACACTCAAGTTTTGTGCCCTTTGTACATTGAAATAACGATGAAAAATGAAATCCTGATTTGGTATGACTAATTAGATTGGCAAGGCAAACCAATCTTAAAAAAGTACAAGATGTAGACTTACAGAACACCCAAGTGACTTACCGCATAAGCCTGTTGGTTCAGAGGTTCATATATAGAACACTGCAGGATGCTGCTCCAAGGCGTCCCCTAGAAAGGTCGATCCACTTCTTTCGTAGGAGAATATCAAGACAAACTTTTGTCCATTGTTTCTATCGTTGACAGCCCGCGGTGTATTTCCAGTAAAGTTCGCTAAATGGAGATCTACTGTTTGTCTTGTGATCTTGTCTGTAATGAAATAATATTATTTTAAACGTGTTGGGTTTATCAAAAACTAATATTGTCAATGAGATATGGAAGAATACAGTCCGTTCTACAAAAGCTACCCAAACGAAAAATGAAAATGCATGGAATAAGAAGGCATTTAGATGTCAGTACCTCATAATTCATTGCAAATGGTTACAATAGTGGAATAATATATAACAGACGCCGACCGCCAACGTCGAACGACGGCAACAAAAACGGCGGCTTAAACAGCAACATGGTGAAATGAAATTGGCGGCGCCAATTTGGAATTTATGATCAACTCATGGTGGAGGATGACGCCGTCAGCCTTAGTGAGAGCACGTGGAGGAACCCTATGGACAAAGAGCCCTGGCCGGAAAGGAACGAATTATGAACTACCAGTTATCCAGGGCATTTCTGAGGGTATCAGAAATGCCAAAGGCATTTCTAAGATATGGTAACAGTTCTTATATACAACAAAACCATTTATGTTTTGGCAATTGAATATAAACATTAATTCGAACAAACCGAGTTCGACCCATCGAAGTTGACTGTAATGTAATTTATAAAAGAATCTGTTTTACGTTCAAATTTTACGCATGCAAATATTTTTCTTCGGTCATTTTAGATATTCCTTTCAAAGATGAACCACAGTCAATCCACACTGTGGGGCTTATTGGCAAGACATGCTGCATTCCCCACAACTTGATGAGAATGAGGTTCCCCACTGTGCAGAATGCACCGGTTGACCATGAGGACAAAAGAGGCAACCTGGCTCCTGAGAAATGAAGGAGATATCGAAACTTGGAGGATATCAGTACTGTCAATATAAGGAGCCAAAACATAGCAAGCAAAAATTGAAGGATTGTGAGAAATACTCTGAATGACTAACACTGGTGATCAACTGTTTGTCTTTGTTTCAGTCTAGCGGGACTTCCGATAGAAGAATTTGGTAAGACTTTTTATTTTATCACTTTCGTCCTTCAAAGGATAAGTCAGGATATATGCCCTTTTGGTCACTCACTTAAATGTTTGTGAAATATGGTTTTTATTACTGTCCTGGTTATATTTGATAAGTATATGCACTTTTACCGAGTTTTGATACATAATGAATCCCCTGCTGAGAGTTGAAATAAGTATGATAACGAAATACAAATAGTCGTTATCATAGAAAAAACACAAATGGCAACATGTATGACATACATGTAAAAAAAACTCAAAAACCCATGAAGAATTGAAAAGAAAATTATATTTTTGAGATATATTTTAGGTTTTTAAATTTTTTCAAACTTTTGAATTTCCCGCCAGTTTAATTTGAAGGGGAAAAACAAGATGGCTGCCATTTGATGTAGGAAATATCAGAAAAAAAGTTGCTTCACTTTTCATTTTCACATTGAGCACAACTCAAAACTGGGTGCTCTGATCAGTACCTTTGAGTCTCTATAATCCCTTAATTAAAAACATAAATTCATCAATCAAAAAATACCATTCAATGTGCTTACAAAGAAAGTAAGCAATGTTTTGGGGATATGTCTCAAACTTATTGTATAATCATTCATTCAGTATTTGAACTTGAATTTTTTTTTCAATTCTGGCAAATTGATATACATTGTCTTCAACCCACAACTTGAATAACCCCCGAGGAAATATTTTCAAAGGCTGACAGAATGTCATGTTAGGGTCTAAAATAGTTTATACTTTAATCTCTTTTACACTCAAATTAAATCAAACCTTCAGGAACTGGGAATTATATTACAACGCTTATATGACGAGAAGTGTGCCATGGCAAGACAGGATGCTATGGCGCCAAATAAGAGGTTCGAATTAAGGTTTATTTGATGGGAATACATTAAATATTAATAACGTATTTATGTTTTCGAAGATAGAATTGTTAATTCAAAGTATAATTAAGATACACTTTATCAAAATATGGAAGTCAATGTTGTATTAATAAAATTGAGCCTTATGAAGGGTTATGAAGTGTAGACCCAGATAATCCCAAATAAAGGGATGGAAGGAATCCATAATATACCTGATTAGGCCTGACAAGATAATTTATTATTCTAAGACAAGAAATTCTGTTAAAGGGGCAACAAGGCCTGTAGAGAGAAAATATGAAAATTTTAACTTTTTCTGAGCTATCAAGGGAAAATTTGGCTTAAAGGGTTCTGATAGGCTTCCCGTATAAAAACAATATGGCGGCTCCAGGCGAGTCAACTGGATCAGTCCATTTTTTAGAAATAAGGGGAGTTCTGTAAAATCCAGTTTATTGAAATTGTCTTTGAGATAAAGTTATCCGTTTATAATGATTTTGAAAACGTTATCCATAGAGTGATTGCGTTCAAAGAATACATGTACAACAGCCAATATAAATCCTTGTATTAGAACTGCTTTGTTTCATTTGTAGGATATTTCATATGCCAAGCTGTGTGCTATTACGTTATGGGGAAATTTAGATGCCAATTTTTCCTTATTATACACAAATAGAAGATCCTGAAACTTCACCCATAAATGTGGAATTGATTTGTCAAAATAAAAATCACCCTTTTATAAATGTGTGACGATCTATAATATACTTATGCTATATAACAGTTAGAGGTGTTGACACAACGACCTCGAACCTGTGAACCCTTGAGTATTATTCCGGGATCGGGCCTTTTATACTAAACGGTGAGCAACACCAGAAACGAGCGTTCGATTTGCTAAACGATATGCGTCACCCTTTAACATCTTCTTTGACATACCTATTTTCTTAAAATGTATGGATAAAATATCAATTTCAATAAGACGTGGAAATCCACTTTTATATCTTTAAGATCCAGCATGTTTCAAGAGGAATATCAGCTGAAATAATGTTTATCGAGGGGGTTTCTTTGTAGATAATTAAAATAGATGTAAGTCTTGATGAGATATCCAAACTTAAATATATTTTGACACTGGTCCACGATCGTTGAACCTCTGTACTTTAACAACATTTCTTTAATGAAAAAGACTTTAGATCTAATCAACATACATACAATGATGCAAAAGCAACAAATACAGTGATCTACAAAATTTCGGACTATGTAGTGTAATGCCCCGTGAACTGTATGAAGCCTCCGATGCAGATAGAAGAACTGGAGCATTTTGGGGGCGGGTGGTACCACCAAAACTACCCATTGGGAACATTGCCGCTAATGTTTTTTCCTAAAACTCTGTTAATCGATTGTTTGTGTATTTTTGTTAACTATTGGAATATATTCACGTATAAAAAACAAAACTACCCCTTCGAAAAGATTCGGATGGCATCGGATCGGAAGCATGCGCAAAGTTGCGCTCCGGTTTTCATGTCTGCGTTCCAATCGCTAAAGCTACGTTCACACCAATGGCGCTTTGATGGCGCTTTAAAGCGGCTTGTAAAGCGGCACCAAAGCGTAACAAAGCTTGATTAAAGCGTCGGGGTCGTAATAGGTAGTAGAAAAGCTCGAAGTAAAGCGGGATGTTCGACAAGAGCGCAAAAAATTAAAACTGTTAAAGCGGCTTGTAAAGCGGCATCAAAGCGTAACAAAGCTTGATTAAAGCGTCGGGGTCGTAATTGTAAACTGTTTAAAAATTTGGGGCGCTCAGTTACGAATTGATAAAAGCGCCGAGAGCGTATCAAAGCTTAGCAAACCGTAACAAAGCTCAGCAAAGCTTGACCCAAAGCGTAGGAAAGCTTAACAGAGATTGGTTCAAAGCGGGGACCCCAGTCTCTTCACTGTCTGTTACCACTTGAAACGCTTCGTTAGATGTCTCAAGATTTGCTACGATCTGGCATGAAGATCTGACACCAGGTCAGAAGCTTTCATCAATATCTGAGACTCTTTGTTACACTTTCATGAAGGACTCTCAAGCTTTCCAACGAATTGAGACGCTAAATAATCAAGGATTGAAACGCTTTGCTAGGCTTTGTTACGCTTGACAAGTTTCCACACGCTATATCACGCCGTGCGAGAAACATCATATCTTCCTCAGATAGGTCATGCTCTGGTCCATCTGGAATTTCTGGATCTTGTTGTTCTGCCATCGTGTTCTCGAGTCAAAGATGCATTGGTTTTATGGATCTACTGCATCTTTATATAGTCATTTGATCAAAAGCGGCATGAAATCGGCGATCTCGACATTTTCCAATGCGTGACAGAGCTTAACAGAGCTTGGCAATTGTATCAGAGCCTGATTTAAAGCGTCATATTATCGCATCAAAGCGTAATAATGCTTATCAAAGCGTGATTTCAAGCGTAACAAAGCCTGGTCAAAGCGGGATCAAAGCGTGAGGAACCTATCAGAGCTATGTTAACCTTTCCTACGCTTTGGATCAAGCTTTTCCATGTAGGCACCCGCAAACGCGTTATTCGTACGAACCGTTTGCTATAGTCTTGTTATTTCGGGAAGTGAGCCATTCTGTCAATGTTTTCACCTATTTTGCCTGGAAATCCCCAGCCTGTCGTGTATCCGATGAATACGCCGATTCATAATGAAAGTTGCCATATTGTGAACGAAAAACACGATTTAAAAGAGTCTAAATAAGTAGCAATTGTCGAAAGAATCTTTTTTTTAAATTTAACCATTTGGACTTGACCAAAATATTCCAGTTAATAATATTGACTTGTTATTGGAACGATTCTAACTTGTAGAACACATTGAGGTTAAACCATTTGGAAGTGTCCAACAACTCCATAAACGTTATATATTTCCAACAAATCATCACCGTGGATGAGGACAGTGAAAGAAGTTGTCTGAGTGATACTATCTAAATGATTATCATTAATTAATGATTAATTAATTACAAAATGTGTGAATAGTAAGTACAAAAACTCCAATAAAACAAAAACTCAATGCAATTTTTTCAAAAGCATAGACAAATTATGAAGCAACAGAACGTATGAATACCATTAGAAGACAATTCCAAATCGTTATTTTTATCACGTCGAAGGCATTAAGTGTACAATTCGCAGTCGTTCACCTAGTGATTACAAGACAAGTCCATGTCAGAATAATGGCCATTCGCCGTCGTTAATTCCACTTTGTTCATTTCGGACATTTATTGCAAATTGAAGGTACAGATACTAAGATATTAATACGATCTTTATTGTTAATGTAGTGGATAGTGTTCCACGTTATAAATGATATTTTTGTTTAAACCTAGTTAAATGACACTAATGGAGATTTAGAGCATATTTCTGGCACTTTTTGTTATCTAATGCCCATAAATATGATCTATGATGGCACGATTGCCAAAATAGATACGTGAGTGTGACAGAGTTCCACACTTTCAATAAAATACAACGATTTCATTTCAAATAATTGATTTTTACGATGGACATTCCCATTCATGTTCGTATGCATATTTATACAATCGTACACTGCTGTAAGGAATAGCGACATCTAATAATACTACTAATAGATGCAGCACTCTGCCGGATGCTGCGCATACTTGTATGAGATAATAAATCAAATACTAGTAGGTGATAACGCTTCAGGATACACAATTGCAAATAAATGTCCATGATCGACAAGGACTCATCAGTCAGTTATGATTATGAAGATACACTCATGAAGTAGCTTCATAGTGCTTTTGGTTAATATGGTGAAAAAGATTTTCCATGCTAATCAAGTAGATTGAGTATAGACATTTTAGAAAACCGAAGACAAATTACTAATATTCATATACTGTAGTATTTTCTCAATTGAAGGCCGATGACTTTCTATGTGTGATATTGTTACATTTCGCCAAACGGCGTTTTCAATTAACAAGCAATGCGTTGGTAACATATTTGATCGTGAATGATTAGAATTTAGAAAGCGTCCCTTTTCACGCCGAAAACATGCCTAAATTAGTAGTCTCCTCATACAAATCCAGCGAAACCAACGATAACGTTTTATTCTACAGTATATTCATTGTATTAAAGAGATCAAGAGTATACCGATGCCTATGTTTTTTAAGTCCATCACTGTATAAGGAGACATATCTATCAAAATACTTGTATAACGTACACACTATATTAATTATTTTCACTCGGTACACATGGACCTCTCTTTTTGCAATTTGTCATTCATAGGCGAAGGTGCATGCAGTGCATTTGATGCTTTTTATGTCTTTAGTACCTATGTTAAGAACATCCGGTATATCTATTTCCTTCAGTACCTCTAATGACATTAGTCCCTCTGTTATCTTAACTGAATCCAGTATATTTGGTACTTCCAGCACCCTTGGCACTTATACCTCTTTTAGTACCTGTACTTATACCTTGGTAATGGATGTAATGTCCTATCAGGCAAATCAACGCAGTTACATAGACGGCTTGTATAGATTTCTTCCTAGTTATCATTGTTGCTTCTGTTTATTACATGGTGATAAATGGTAATTGTATATAAGGGCTAAACTCACGTTATATTTGTTTAAAGGGTCTTGTTGATATCTATTAAGTTAGATATCTTTGTTGTCAGGCCTTTGTTGTCGAGTCTGGTAGCACGAATTCAAATCAGACAATACATTGGTTGATTAAATCATCCACAAGTACTGAGTCAAGTGCAAAATTCTTTTCACACTTTGCAAAAGATTTTGTAGAGTATGACTCAAAAGAATGAATTTGTTTGCAAGGAAACATTTTTGCAAGTGTGCAAGTATAAGTAGGTTAACCTTGTATTAGTGAATGTAACGAACGCCTGTCGAATACCGGATTAACCTACTATTTTATGACCAACTCATTGAAATATGAATGGAATAGTGGCAGGTACTATTCATATTTAAATGAGTTGACCAAAATAGTAGGTTAATCCGAACAGAACAGATCGTAAGTCATTGTTACAAACAGGAAAGTAAGCAAGTTACTATTTGGGCGATGCCGTATGAGGTGTGTCCCCCTCGGTTAATATGACGATGCAAGAGCTAATGCATGAATCTAGGGGAGACTAAAAGACCCACTTTGCTTATTTTCAATGTTTTTTTGGCAAAATAGATACTTTAATTTGAATTTTATCAATGTCATTGAAAGATGGCGAAGTTGTTTGGATTCCATGATTCATTAATTGTTATAGAAGTGTCGCCATCTTTTGAACCAAAGATTATTTACAACATGCTCTTTGTTTATATATCACATGTGCATGCACTACTAATAATCTCTAAACTTAAACTTAAACTTATTTTTTTCTTGGTTCAATATTAAAGCAAATCAAACCTTGTTTCATATTTGATCGAGTTTGTGAGTAACATTCTTCAACGAATATTTTTTTCTTTTTTCTTCTGAATTAAGTATAGTGGGCCTTTAAGAGGAGGAAACCCCCAGAGCTTTAGCGATGACAGACACATTACGTCTCTTGCGTAACCCCTTCGTTTGCGAAAATTCTCACCGGTTAGTTTTCACGTCGTTATGATGTTTTAATCGATGCATATTCCTTACATCTTTCTTTATCTTGATGTGAAATAAAAAACTATGGTTTTGGTTAACACGCCAAAAATTAACATACAATAATATTATTCGAAGCGTTATTACAAACTTCGAATCCGCCATTTTTGTTTGTCGATTTGGACCAATCAGGACGTTGGGTCATCTCAATACAGATTTACATTATAGACGTACGTCATCTTTGAATCCTAGGGTTTCTCCCCCTCTTGGGAGACTTCAGGAATGTTCTTCGAATGGAATCTCACATGTTGCACCCAATACTTTTTATTCAATATTATCCTAGGTCCTAGCACTATAACGTGCGTCACCATTTAAAAGCCTGCACGGTAACCTTGGTTTTTATATCAACATGAATTCAAAATTCGCCATGCGGCTGCCGTAGGAAATGTGACTGCAAGAGTATCTGACCGCAGAAATTCTACGGCGAGCGTAGAAATCTTACTGACCGCAGAAATGATAGACAGTACGGTCTCCGTAGCAAATATCACATGGGATACGCGGTTTACTGTCTGAAATCTTGGATTGTAACTGTGAGGTATATCAGATCAATTGTGCGATGGGCCAAATGTGTAGGCTACTTCCAAATTCGTACATATTGCTTAAACTTAAAAGACAAATGGGCAAAGCCCTCCACTGACATTGATTATCGGTTATCAGTTCCGGCCTCGTGAACTATCTTTCCACCCGAACTACGGTTCTCACAACGCGAATATCGACACCGAGCTCCCCGCACACCGAGTTCCCACATCACGAACAATTTGTACATAGTACATCCGGGTGCTTAGAATTCCAGGTTATATGCCAAAATGTCGGATGATGTCAACGGAGTGAGGGAAATCAGGAAACAAAATGCACATTTTCACCGCTTTCGCCGAACTTTATTAGAAAAGCATGCCACGTTGACATCGACGCACGCCCCGAATTCGTAGGGTTTTGCATGAAGAGTTCAACGGGATCGCAAAGTAGTCCCGAAATTTTGTGTTTCTTTCTTGGAGCTTGAAAATACTGCTATTTTTAATTGTTAGATATTGATCAACATGCATGAACAATTGGAAAAGTATTTTTTCCGAATTCAAATAAAAATACAATTATTGGAATTTTAGTACTCTGTCATAATACACAGTATGTGGGAACTCGATGCGCGAGAAGAGAAATATGTTCGGGAGAGGAACTGGTGGTTCGCGACTAAAGAATCGATATTCGCGTTGTGAGAACCGTGATTCGGTTAGAAGGAATGTAGAAGTTCGCGAGGTCGAAACTGATGACCGCCTTGTCGAAGTCTAGGACGCCTGATTATTTTTTAGCATTTTTCGGCTTTGGAATCAGTCCCGTCTTGTGGTGCGCCCTATAAATATGAAATATCTCAGACTCCAACAACCAGATACCTCCAAAGCGTGATTTTCATAACTTATGTTTTGAGGGGGAGGTGTACAGGTAAGGTACAGTCAAAGCGTAACGGCCTGCGTTTCCTATCATAAATCGATTTATTGATAAACTCGTTAGTTTGATCCAATCAACTTAAAGCTCTGATAATCAAAGTTATGCTTTTTTCTAGCTCTATCTTTTGAATCATGGCTTGTATTGTTTGTTCCAGGCACATCAAATAGAAAGGTCGATCAAAACATAAATATAGCAGTATTCCAAGCAAGAAACGCAAGGAAATATTTCCAAAGCCTCGTCGGATAAATCATTAAATCTACGACCATGAACTGAACATCTGAGTATTTCAATTGAAAAATGCAGGAATGGCGTTCGTTAAAAGTTCAAATAAGCCATCGATTTAGAATCATCACAAATAGAAATACTATTGGGAAAAATATACGTAATTATAATAACGTCAATAAATATTTTCATATGTGTAACAGTTTTAGTGCAGGATTTGCGGATGAAACTTCAAACAACAGGTAGAGATCAGTAGCTATATCTGGTTTCCAGTGTCGGAGGAGAAGAAGAGGTGAATTTCCAAACCTCTTCTATTTAAGGAAGTGTTATTGTCATGGAGGAAAGTTGGATGATATGTTGTTAGTGAAGGTCAAAATACTATATCTAGCAATTCACGCCATGGTAAGGCATATTTTAATAATTTCACATTTGCACACAGTTTCGAATTCGTTATATATGCAGCAGTAAATTTTGTGGCAACGTGTAGAAGTCATATCATATATCACGGGTGTTAAGCCACGATGACACCATGAGCACATGCTTTGAGGATCCGCGTTGTTTAAACCTACCGTCGAGCTCACTTATACATTAAGCCCCGTTACACAGTCATGATACCGCCGAGCAAGCTCATTGCATCATCGTGTCTGCTTTACCCCCCGTGATATATGATAACCTTCTGAAATCTTCTATTGTATTCCTTATATATGTACACAATCAATCTTAGATGTGATATGGTAGTTCATTGCACTGTCAGCTAGATATCGTATGAAGTGGGCTATTCTGTGGAATTTTAAGTTATTTTTGTTCAACATCAATCATGAAAACTCCACTATGACTCCTGGTTCAAAACCACTCCTATTTGCAAAATGGTCGCCATTTTTGTCTCGCGAAATTCACGTTCCTAGCTTCACAAATAATCTCAGGTGTCCTGCGTTGTAAAAAGCCATGTCACTGTAAAGAGCAGTTGTTTGAAATAATTTGTTACAAAAAATCGGCAAAAAATATCCGTTTTTTATTTTTAGCCATTTTAGTTAACATTGATTTGTCCATCTGTCTCGCGAAATTCACTTTTGGCCCATTTCCTAGCTTTACAAATAATTTCAGGTGTCCTGCATTGTACAAAGCGTCACCTTCAATGACCTTTTCAGGGTCAAAAAACTTGTTTCAAATTAACAATTCTTTTATGAATTTTACTTTCATAACCCGACTATCACACCAAACTATACTAGTTCTCACTACGTTCTCAAAAACGGGTCTGAACTGTGTTAGACGAACTTGAACGAGAAGATCGGCTAGGACTTACCCTACTATCACACCAAACTAGTTCTCACTACGTTCTCGAAAACGGGCTTCAACTGTGTACGAACGGACTGGACGTACTAAGAACCGTTTGGGGTCTATTTACAAACTTCATCGAACGTACTCGAACGGGTAGGTCCTCTAGAACTAAGAACATGCTCAAAATTTTCTCGTGGTCGATACGTTCTACAATTAGAACGTGTGACAACGTACTAACGACGAGCCGGACGTACTACGAACGGAACCGTCGTACTTCAATCCTACTAGGGACGTTTTAACAACGAGTTGAACTGTCTGAGGACGTATTGAGAACGAGGTTGAACTAATTGCAAACTTGTTTAAACTGATTAAGAACGTATTTAAGACTGCTTATGAACGAATTAGCAAAGATATAGCTATCACACCAAACAAGATGCCACTGCGTTCTTCAAAACTGGTTTTAAACTGTGTGCGAACGGAATGAGCGTAGTTGCAACTTTCTAAGGTCTATTTACGAACTTCGTGGACTTTCCCGGACGGGGAATGTGATTTAGAATTTTGAATCGATTCAAAATTCGATGGCGACCATACCGTTCTGTAATTAGGTCATGATGACCTTTTAGACTAAGGGACGCCGTTGCACACCGACGTGGTGCGACCTGAACGAACTGCGAACGAGATGGACGTATTGAAGACTGTTTATGAACGAAGTAGCTAATTATTTTAGACATATTTCCCGACCACGGCCAGATTGAGCCCGCTTTACGACATTTTCGTAGGACTGGCAAGAAAGGGTAAGAACTAGTTTGGTGTGATAGGGGGGTTAGAGCATTCTCAAAATTTTCTGGTGGTCACCACATTCTGCAATCAGAACGAGTGACAACGTACTTAAGATGAGCTGGACGTAGTACGAACGGAAATGTCGTACTTCAATCCTACGAGGGACGTTTTTAGAACGAGTTGAACTGCCTTGGAGTTGGGACGTATTGAGAACGAGGTTGAACTAATCGCAAACGGGTTTAAACTGGACGTATAAAGACTG